ATCTATCTATCTATCTATCTATCTATCTATCTATCTATCTATCTATCATCTATCTATCTATCTATCTATCTATCTATCTATCTATCTATCTATCATCTGTCTATCTGTCATCTATCTATCTATCTGTCATCTATCTATATATCATCTGTCTATCTATCTATCTACCATCTATCTTTCTACCTACTTATCTAATTACACTTTTGTTTGTATGTGCATGCCATGATGCACTTGTGAAGATCAGTTGACAACTTGTGCAAATCAGTTCTCACCTTTCACCGGGTGGATCCTGGGATGAAACTCAAGTACCCAGGTGTTGTGGGATGCAGGTATTAATGGGTACAGAAGGATAGACAGGTAATGGTTAGAACAGGGTGACCTGTGGTCTGTGTTGAAGACAGATCCTCCTCTGTAACTGCCAGTTCAAATGCAGCTACCACAGTTCAGGCTCAAAACTGTGACTTCTGCTGGCTCTTACTGGTCCCAGATGTGTCAACATTTGTTATAGTGACATCAACCGATAAAGCAAACATATAGAAGCAAAAGTCTTTAGTGAAAAGAGCCCTTTCCTAGTCTTAAACTATCTCCCCTGCCCTGTTTCCCCAACTAGGCAATTGTCCTGGAGACTGGCAGCCCTTATTCTTTGTGGGCAGTCTTAGAATTCAATAAGTAAATAGATGCAAGTGCTTCTGAAGGAACAGCTGGCAATAGGGTGTTTCATGTCCTGCTTTCTCGCTTGTGTTCAAGGCACAGCCCCAGAGCACAGTGCAAAGCCACGAGCCTCTGACTTCTTAACCTACAGTTCAAACAGAGAAACTAAAGTCCTCCAGGAACACCTCAGAAATGCCTTTCCTGGACATTGTGTGTGTGTGTGTGTGTGTGTGTGTGTGTGTGTGTGTGTGTGTGTGCATGTTTCCTTGTGTCTGGGTATACATGTGTGGGAGCATTGTACATAGATGTGCATACATGTGGAGGCATTAGTTGATACTAGGAAATCATCATAAATTTGTCTCCTACCTTTTTCTTTGTGGCAGGGTCTTTCAGTCAAACCCGGAGATCACTGATACAGCTAGTGTAGCTATCCAGCTTGCTCTGTGACTCTCCTGTTTCTACCTTGAAGGCTGGAATAAAGCCTAGCATCTAGAACTACCTGGCATTCATCCATCCACCCATTCGCCTATACATACATACATACAAACACACATATTTGTGTGTGTATGCGTGTGTGTGTGTGAGTGTGTGTGTTCAAGGGTATCTGAACTTTGATACTCATGCTCTGAGGTCACCCCCCTGATCTTGTTGGGTAGTTAATGATTTGTTAGAGTTGTTGTTTGAACTTATTTTCTGCAGTAATGCATTTCAATTTTAATACCCTAACCTTGAAAACGTTGCTACTTAACAAACCTCTGTCTTTCAGACCACATAACCATCACTCCAAAGGATCCCCAGTGGGTTGGGGCCTGGTGGCTTGGTTACCTAATAGCAGGGCTCCTAAGTCTCCTTGCAGCTGTCCCTTTCTGGTGCTTACCCAAGACTCTACCGAGAACCCAAAGTAGAGAGGATTCTGGATCCTCATCTGAGAAGTCCAAGTTCATTATAGATGACTCTATTAACTACCAAATGGCCTCTGGAGAAGAAATGAAAATCATGGAAATGGCAAGAGGTAAGTCAGATTCTCCTTGATCATGGGCTCATGTCCCTCTTCCTAGTGGGACTTGAGGAAGGGAACCCATAACAACACTTGGCTCCCCTGTCTGAAAAGATAAGAAGCCATTACAGGCAGCAGAAATGGAGAGGGGAAGTCTTTCTTACTGAAAAAGTTATGCAGGTAGATGAACAAGAGTCCTGCATATTTTCCTTTTACATGCTCCACCTTCTCTCACATACCATTGTTCTTCTCCATAGTAGCTTCTCAGTGTAAGTCTGAGTGGACAGAAAGAAGAGGCTGTAACTCCATGTCTAAGAGTCTTTTGCACATAAGTCCCAACAATATATAGAAACGTATGTCTCAGCAAGGGTGTAAGAAGGAGGCAGGCAAAGGCCAAGCTTGTTCTCAGGAAAGTCGATGGCTGAGAAATTGTACCCATCTTTTTATTTTCGAGGCATCCTGTGTTTATTTTTATAGACATTTTTGAACTTGTTGAAGTTCATTGCATGAATCACAGGAGAAAGATCCTTTCAAAGCCAAGGCATGTTTACTAAAGGAGACAGCAGTGAACTATGTTGGGAGAAAGAAACTTACACTGGTGGTTCTTGGTTTCCAACCTGGGGCTCATAGAGGGAGGATGAGGAGAAATGCTCTGCCCCCTTGTCACCGACACATCTGTCCCTGTCTCACTCATAGCTCCTATATAGTATTCCAGAGGAGTGTGAGTGTGTGCCTAGATGCAACCCTGGGCAGACTGCAGCCCTGAAGGTTGCAATGTCGACCACTTGAGACCCTCGTTTCATAAATACCATATTGTTTTTGTCTTACAGATTTTCTTCCATCCCTGAAAACTCTTATTAGAAATCCAGTATACATCTTATATCTGTGTGCAAGCACTGTTCAATTCAATTCTCTATTTGGTATGGTGACATATAAACCAAAGTACATTGAGCAGCAGTATGGACAGTCATCCTCCAAGACCAACTTTGTCATTGGTATGCCCACCTGTCTGTTATGTGTTCCCATAAAAACCATCTTTCATGACCCTTCCAATTCTTAGTAATATTATATTGCTCCAGTTTTTAATATAAAATAATTAAACTATTTTAGATGAAGTAAAAGAATATGTTTTTAAATACTCTAGTTGGGTGAGTATGTATACATGGTGGGTGTGTAACTGTGACTGTTTGGATGTGAGAGAATTCCCTATGGTTCTTTAAGAAGTACAAAAAAGTGAACATAGCATGGATATTTTTATCTTTAGATTATTGCTAGTATTGGATACTTGTGTTTTAGGCTTTGTTGATGCCTTACAATATTGACAATATTGCATGCATGTTCTCTGGGATTGCATGCAGCAGGCATTTAGACAGTATAACTGTGTTTTCCATAGCACAACTTAGAGTCAAAATACGTTTTTGATTTCTGGAGACTATTTTGTTTGAAAGGATTGTATTTATAACATATTAATGTAGCCAATAACAAGAATATCACTCAAGAACCAAAACAAGAATAAGAAAGTAAAAGAAATATAATAATGCTTAAACACAGAGTTATACCCTGTATAAAATTAGGAACTTAAAACATGAACTGACTCCTTTTCTCCAGGAATATTTCATTTAACAATCACCATTTTGAGGCATTACATTTATTCTGTTTCATGGGACATATTCCTTTAAGTTATGAGACTCTAAAATAACTTCCTTCTTCACAGAAATTGTTAAAGAATTTCTCTTATTAATATTTTGTATGGTATGGCTATGTTATGGGGTTGTGTGGGTAAGGGTGGCTGAGTATGTGGATGAGTGGATGTGTTCATTTGTGCACATAACTACACATGCCTCTGTAGGTCAGAGGTCAAATAAGACTTTCAAATCTCCTAGAGCTGATGCTAGAAGTAGTTGTGAGCCATCCAATGTGTATTCTAGGAACCACACTTGGGCTTCAGAGCCATCTCTCCAGCCCTTCTTCACAGAATATTTTTAAATTTAATTAATTCATGTTTTTATCCCTGAAAACAGAAGAGGAAAACTGAGTATATCTTGGAAGGTGAAATTTTCCTGTAACAATTTCTGAATAATGAGCACATAGAAGATGTTACAGTGACTGACTTATTTGGTCTATTCTCCAATATTCTAGCAGTTTCACAATTGGATCACTGACCTATTTTCATTTCCAATATTAATTGATTCAAAATAGCTCACTTTTATTATTTTCTGGTTAAACAAAATAAGTATTTGAGAAATATTCCCCTCCCAGAACTTCATTCATATCTATCAGTGTTGTACACTGAGTGTAAGAAGAACAAATAAATAAACAATGAACATTTGAGATAGTCTTTTCATTTTATATGTAGTTTTGTAAACTACATATATGCTTTACATTGAACAGTTAAATATGCAGATGTTTCTTATATAGTTTAATTGAATTAATTTGCATATGTGTATGCATATGTGTGGTGTGTGTGTGTTTGTGTATGCGTGCTCATGTGGAGATGAACCACCATCTAGAGCATTCTGTTACCCAAGAGGATTATTACCAGCACAGACTTTCCCTAATTACTAGAAGTATGATAAACGTAATCTTTCTAAGCCAGTCTTTCTTGTTCTTGAGCCTCACACAAGTTGGATAATTGATGTTTAGATTTGTTCCTGGTTCTAAATACTCATGGTTGGTTTTTTTTTCATTACCATGGTATAATCTGTGACATCAATATACCATGAATTATTTATATTTAGTAATTTTAGTCCCCATGATTTTATTCTTTTGGCTACTGGAGATGACACAGTCATGATCATTCTATGGGTATATTCATTGTCTTTGACTAGCTCATGGGATGCAAATACTAGGTCATAGGCAGTCTATAATAGAAAGTAGATGTTGCTGAGAAACAACATGGCAGAGCACATTTAAACCTGCACTGGATGTGTGGGTGCATGCTAATCTCCTCACATTTTTTTTTTTAACCAGACCTTGATGTTTTCAGCCTTACACTGTGACATTGTTTACCTGAAGACTATTTATGTTGAGTATGACTGAATAGGCCATTTACCCATGCTGTTTTTTTATTTTGCCTTCCAGTCTTTCACTTGGTAACTTCTGGAAACTGTATATTTTTCTTCATGGAATGCATGTATTGCAAGTATTTTTCATATATGTTACCTTGCCTTTTAATTTACCCTTTTATTAACTACAGATTCTTTTCTCATATAATATAATCAAGACAATTTCCCCTCCCTCTTCTTCTAGTTCTTCCCTATCTAATTTGATATAAGACCTTTTAATTTTGATAGTGGTCATGATCATCATTTTAATTAAGCCCAGTTTTTAGGTTTTTCTTTCTTGTGTTATTTTCATTCTGTTTTTAAAACTGTACATTAAGCCCCCAATTGACCGTAATGTTTTCCTAATACTTGTAATGTTACCATTTAATTGTTTCAGTTTTCACATATTGGAACAATACATTTCTAATCAAGTTTTTATATAATATGAAAGACAAGGTTTAACCAGAATTAAGAGGAAAAAAAAACAATCAAACAAACCCAAACCTCTTCCCAGAAATTTGAACGAGAGTCCTTGTCTTTGAAGATGTGCCTGTTCCTCATTATTCAACATCATAAAACATTGCATCCAGGCTCTTGATCTCTCCCACACTGGAGTCATGAATGAGGTTTTTTAAAATTTTCATACTGAAACCTGTTTTTCATAGAAGAAAATTAAGAATATTATTTGGAGAGAGATGTTTCTAACAGAAAATTAGGACTGAGGAGGTGGCTCAGTGAGTAGAGGCACTGCACGTGCAGAAGGTCTGAAGCCCTGAGAAGGATCCCAGGGATAGTTTTAAAACACTTAAAATTTTTACTAGATTTTTGTGGGAGGCACAGATTCCTAGAGCTCACAGAGAAGCACTAGGGGAATCAGAAATGTTAAAACACCCAGGGCTCTCTTCAAAGGTAGATATATAACCTGTTTTCTTCCCAGAAGGTTAGGAACAGAAGTGGTTAATAGCCTGATGACCTTTGTGTTGTAACGAGGGCTGCTTGTTCATTTCCCAACTACCTAGCATCTCTGACCCGAAATAACCACAAGGAAACGATATTAATTAAATTACTGCTTGGCCTATTAACCCTAACTTCTTATTGGCTAACTTCTACATATTAACTTAATCCATTTTCATTATTTTATATTTACCCCGAGACTCACTGTCTCTGACATCGGCTCCATGGCTTCTCTCCTGACTTTGCCTTTCTTCTCCCAGCATTCAGTTTAGTTTTCCCTGCCTAGCTCTGTTCTTTACTATCAGGCCAAGCTTGTTTCTTTATTAACCAATGGTATTCACAGCATACAGAGCGGAATCACACATTACCTCCCCTTTTCTGTTTAAATTAAAATGGAAGGTTTTATCTTTAACATAGTAAAATTACATATAACATAACAGTTATCAAGCTAGAATAAAGTTACAACATTTATATATACTTTATTTTTGTCACAACTAAGGAAAACTATAACTATAATGATAAATTCTTCAACTCCATCAAAAACTCCAGAAGGATATAATATTACCTAAGTAAACAGAAAGTTCATTGTAAGCAACTTCCAAAACTCTAAAAATGACAGAGACATCTTGCTGCCTGGACAGGTTACCCAAAGCTCTTCTGTACCTTTGGAGCATCCATCTTCAGCCTACTGGTCCACAGTATCCAGTAGACTTTTCCACAAAGCAGGAAATTTCAAAGACAGTTCTGCCTATATTGGCAGTTTGTCGGTTACTTTCTTCTGTGTCCTGAATGTGTCTAGAAGAGTCTTTCATGAAGTGAACCTCTCTCACCTTTAGGCAAGTTTAGCAGTCAATTTTCTGTGGGCCCTGCATATCCAGTTTATACAACATAACATCAAGCAGTCCAGGCAAGAGCAGTTTCTTGCCCAAATGGTTAGCAAACTCCATAAGGAGTCTCTTCAATGCCCAACATCCTCTTAAAGTATCTTGGTGATGTCAGGAACAGATGTGTCTCACTGTCATGAAAAGTGTTAAGTTCTTAAAACATTTTAAATGTCATATTCTGTAGCTCTTTGAAGTGGTTGAAGAATACCTATGTACCTGAAATATATACTCTGTACATCTAGAAAACCTAACTAACATGATTACAGGCTTGACTATTATAGGTGACTCTCTATTAAGCTATATTTCTTAATTATTCATTGCATTCTTAAATGAGCTGGACAAACACAATACCCTAATCAAGAGCAGAAATACACATATAATAAAATTGATCTTAAGTTTCTATCAATAAACCAAGATCCATACCAATGCAAATCTCTATAGCACCTTTGTGCTATCTGTGTGGCCAAGATCACACCAAGTCCTCCCCCAAGACTCTTATCTTATCTTGAGCTTGTTTTCCTCATTTAACCTATAGAACACATCTTTATGGAAGATGTCATGTATATGTTACAAAGAGTTTTAATGTAGTCATGTCTTAAGCTTTGTTGTGTACATGAGAGGGAGTTAATTATCACCAGGAAACATTTCAGCAAATAATGCTGTGCTTAAATATGCCTACATAAACTACTTGGGGTCAGACTCTACGTTTGAACCAACACTGGTTATTGAGTTGTGTTGAACTGAACTACCTTATTACCATTCTTCGACCCCACCCTCTGCCACCACTGCCAATTATTACTCTGCTGGCCATGATCTTTGGAGAGGCCTCTGCTGTTCTTTGAGATGTTCATGCATAGATACCCTCATTTCTGCATGCAACTTCCCCAGATTCACTAAACCCATATTCAATATTCAATATATTCACAGGAATATATATAATGAATAATATCCAGTGAATATATTGAAAATTAAAATAGATATAGTAAATATTTTGAATATTGTTTATATATATATATGTAGTATGAGGGGGCCGGCTTGTTGGGGTTTCCGTCCCACCCAGTACCCCACAACTGGCAAATCCCAAAGAAAATCACACACAGGACTCCATAAAGTTATAAACTGATTGGCCCATTAGGTCAGGCTACTTATTAGTTCTTATGACTTATCTTAACCCATTATTCTGATCTATGTTAGCCATATGGCTTGGTACCTTTTTCAGCTGTCAGCTTACATGTTGCCTCTTCAGTGGTCTGCGCAGGAATGACAGAGGAACCTCCCTGCTTCCCAGAATTCTCTTGTTCTCATTGCATCACCTCTATTTCCTGTCTGGTTTTCCCACCTATACTGCCTGCCTGGCCAATCAGTGTTTTATTAAAATATGATTGACAGAATACAGACAATTCTCCCGCATCATATATATATATATATATATATATATATATATATATATATATATATATATAGTGTGTGTGTATGTGTGTAAATATGATATGATATATATATCATATCATATCATATATACACACAATTTATGCTGCCCATACACTCATGGATATGGGACCTCCACTGAAGCATGGTCCACCCAAGCATCCACACTTTTAAGAAAACTGATTGTACTTCCCCTAGCACCCACCATCAGTCAAGAGCTACTCAATTAGGAATCCTGAGTCCTTCTCTCATACACGCTGAAATTTTGGCTATTTTGAACTTATGCAAGTAACCATGAGTTCATGAGTGCAGGCTCTTGTCATGTCCAGAATACTGCTAACTGGGGATTTCCCAACGTTCTCAATAGCACAATGTTTCCTTTATTTATTGCATGTGTGTTTATAAAAAATAGGATTTTATTATTTACTTTTCTGTTGCTGTTATAAAAAACCTTTCCCAAAGGGAACCTATAGAAGAGAGAGTTTTTTTGGTTTGTGATTCCAGAAGGGCGAGTCTATCTTACCCGGGTAGTGACATGGCAGCAAGTGGCAGGTATGGTGTCAGGAGCAGGAAGATGAGAGCTTACATCTTCAAATACAAACACAAAGCAGAGAGAACTGGAAGTGGAATCAAGCGTCCAATTCTCAAAGCCTTTTTCCAGTGAAGTACTTTCTCAGGCAAGGCTGTACCTCCTTAAAACCTCTTTAACCAGCTCTTCAAATTGGAAACCAAATGTTCAAATATCTGAGTCTATGGGTAACACTTCTCATTCCCATTACCACAAGGACTAACATAATAGATACAGAATCCATAGTAGAGCTAACTTCTAGGATGGAGACTGGAAGGTCTCTCTCTCTCTCTCTCTCTCTCTCTCTCTCTCTCTCTCTCTCACACACACACACACACACACACACACACACGGCAGAGAAAGAGAGAGAGAGATAATTCTATCTTTCTATCTTCACATTTTTTTAATTAGGAAAAATTGTTGGCATGAATGAAGTTGGATCGCAAGTGGCTGGATCTGTTGCATTCTTCCTAGCATTTGCTCCTTATTTTTAAAATGACAATAACATGTTTTTTTAGATGTTTGTTGCCCCTTCAGAGTACCAGGACACTTCCATCTCCTTCACCTGTCACACCCCTCGAACCTCAGTTTAGCTGGAGAGCAAACGTAGCATCTCCCTTATTACATTTTAATAAATTCATTTCATGCCCTTGTGAAGATTAGCCTATTTCTAACCTAGACCCTACCCTGGACCTAGTTTCCAGACTGAGCTGGATCCTAATATGTCAATTTTAATATTAAAAATTACAACCCATAGTCAAATAAAATAGGTGGATTAAATGTCTTTCATCTATTGATATATGGTATAAATATCTTAAAAATATAAGATAAGAGTAACCAGAGAGGTTATTTCTTTTAATTGCATGAAGATTAGTTAAAAGATTAAGTATATAATGTGCCTATTATACAAAAGATGGCATTAAGGAAGATTAATGTCTACCCAATTGCCACCTGATTGAGAATGTTAGTTCTGGTTATCTACCAGAAAGGACATCACTTGATCAGTTCATTCAGTATCAGTGGTATTGCACATTGCGTCATTTGGAATGTTAGACTCCGAGACTACACTTGTGCTATTGTTAACCTGTGACCTTTATTCTTTTCCCAAACTCTTGGCATATGATTACCAATAATAATGATATTTTTATAAGTTAAAAGGACAGCATAGTTTAATGCATCAGAACCATTGGTGAATGTTTGCTGTCACTAAGAACGCGTGTGATGCTCAGAGATTTCTTGTAGTGACGTATTTTCTTATCCCTCAGGGCTTATCAACATTCCTGCAGTGGCTCTTGGAATATTCTCTGGAGGAGTAGTTATGAAAAAATTCAGGCTGGGAGTGCTCGAAGCTACAAAACTCTACTTGGGATCATCTGTCTTTGGCTACCTCCTCTTCCTCTCTCTGTTTGCCCTGGGATGTGAAAATCCTGGTGTGGCCGGACTGACTGTGACCTACCAAGGGTATGTTCTCTCGTGATGACATATGAGGATATGGAATTGTTTAATTCAATTGTCAATAGAGTTCTTCAATAAGATTAATGTTTTAAGCTTCATAGCTTTCATAGGAAAGAAATTTTCAATGGACTAGCTGGTAGTACTTAAAACTTAGAATCCATTATTGTCACCCAAGTTTATGGTTTCTTCCAAATATGAATTCAAATGTCTTATAGAAATATAAAAATTGCTTAATCTACATCTTTCGTTAGAATATTATCCAGAAGCCAGGAGGTGGTGGTGCACACCTTTAATTCTAGCACTCGGGAGGCAGAGGCAGGTGAATCTCTATGAGTTTGAGGCCAGTCTGGTTTACAAGAGCTAGTTCCAGGACTGGCTCCAAAGCTACAGAGAAACCCTGTCAAAAAAAAAAAAAAAAAAAAAAGAAAAAGCAAACATTCATAAAACAAGAAAACAAACAAACATGAAAACACCAGAAAATGAACCTGACATATAAAACAATGCAATCATGGGAATACAGAGTTTACTTCTTAGTAAAGTGAGGATTTATGGGTTGAACCGTTTGGCAATAATTTTCTAATTTGAGAAATAGAATAATAACTATCTTTTAAGATTTGGAAGGTCTAAGTAATGTCCATATATGTGATAGTTATTAGTACTTGTTTGTTATAAAATAGCAGGAAGAAGTTGCTTTTTCTCCACTCTAGACCCCTAGTTAGCTGGATTGGTCTTTAGGCCATCTATTCTAGTCTCTGCTGTGTTAAAATCACAGCAAGGATCAAGAGAAAAAGTTGTCTCACAGCAACTGTCTTTAGCTTCCATCCATCTTGCACTGAGTCTGAAAAACATGAGTAATTTACATTTCCTGGTTTTGCCCTCATGCTTATGCCATCGCATATGTGGTAGATGATTGGATTGTTTGGTCTCTAGCTTCTTTCTTAATGCAAGACTGGATCTCGTAAGACCTTAAGAGTCCTTACCATTCCACCACAGGGAATGCCTGCATCCTTCCAGTTGTTCTACACTGTTCATCTACAGATGTCGTTGAACCTCTACCCTGTACCAGAGAGGATCTAGATTAAATCTACCAGACTGCAGATGTTACTGAACCTCTACAATGTACCAGAGAGGATTTAGATTAAATCAGCCATACTGCTTGAAGCCCTGCAGAGGTAGAAAGGCAGACTATCCAAATCTTGTGTTCATTAGTTTTTTGTTTTTAATGCATGTGACCAAATACCTATCAAGAAGCATTTTAAGAAACGTAGTGTTGACTTAGGCTTGCAACTTGAAGGGATGTATACAGCCCATCATGGAGGGAAAGGCATAGAAGCAGGTGACCCCATGAGTTTTTGAGTGCATAGGAATTGCATGTTCACATCTCATCAGACTAGGAGACAGAGATGGGACAGGAAGCAAGGCTCTGACCCAGTGACCTACAGACCCCACCTCCCAAAGCATCCACAACCTCTCAAAACACCACCACCTAATGTTAGAGTCAAGTATTCAAACACATAAGCTTATAGAGGACATTTTTAATCCTCTGTATCTCCTCTATTCTACCTGATCATCTGCCCTGTCTCTACATTCTAGCCTTGATTTTCTTCACCAACATGATTTTTTGTGCTTGTAACTAACCACATGCTACAATATCTCCCATTTAAAATGAAACCAGTGAATGCAAAGTTAAACATAAATGTATGCATAGCAGGGTTTGAGAATGAAGAGTGGTCAGCAATAGACATTAAGTGTTAATGATAATGATGAATCAGTAGAAGGCTCTACAAGGAGTAGAAGCCTTGTGCTATTTTTGACTTTACCTTTCATATTTGTTATAGACTGTCATGGTGGAATAATTTGTAGTTTTCTGTTTATAAAGCATATAACTTTCACTTTCTAATGCATAGCCTCTAAACCCTTATACAAATCAGTTTTGCTAATCTTCTTAGAAAAAAAGTGAGTTTTCAAAAGTCAATTTGCTCCCCGAACTTAGCATCTATCAAGTGTAGGTCTTGACCTTGCACACAAGCATGACTCACAATATACTATTCTTTCTGTGTTTCTAAGGCAAAAGCAAATACATAGACAACTGCTGAAAACTTTTGAGGTTCATATTATGAATACTTCCATAATAAAAGATGAAATAATTTAATGAAATAAAAGATAATACAACCATTGAGTACTAACCTCTTCAACAGAATCACCTTGAGAGACTGTAGCTGGATGGCAGTAATGTTGTCATTGTTTGGTGCATTCTGAAGCTCCTCTTTCAAAATTGCCTCTCATACTTTTCAAACATCCTCCACAATGGCAGATTTAACCTTTGAGAATAGCTGTGCCATTGAAAGCAATCAAAGAAACGCAACATCACTAGGAAAACATCCCACTCCTTAGTGCAGCTCTCTGAAAAGAAGTCTCATTGGGGAACAAACACTCTAACATGTTTGTTGAAACTCTTCTTGTAATTAAAAATTTAAGTCACAACCCTACTGTCAAATACATCCTTCATAAGACATGCTTGCAATCAAAGTCTGTCCTAGATGGCAAAGTAAATGTATCCCCAGTAATGTAAAATAATTAACTTTAATGCAAAATGCTTCCCCTGGGATTGTCCTGTGTTGCTTTGTTTGAAATGGTTATTTTGATTCCAGACACCCAAGAGGTCCTCTATTGACAAGCTTGAGATATGGCAACTGAGGGAATATCTTTTCTTTAGTCAGGAGAACAATGCTGTTATGAGGACAAGAATTTAGATGCAACATACCTGGGAGGGTCCACACCCAGCTTTGCCACTAATGAATGGTGTGAGTTTGAGCAAGAGCCCTGCCTATGACCTTCCTGAAATGCATGTGAGTGGGTGGCCTCCATCACACCAAGGTTCACTGGAGGTCCAATCATCTGCAACCTTGACCTCACAGGACCTTTAGCGGACTGATGCTGAGCTTTTAAAGATATCATTGTCATTACAGCTTCAGATGGAACCATTCATCTTAGCCAGCAGTTAACACTTCATGGAAGAGAAGGTTAAATGTTTGCAGAGGACTTACCTGAGACCTAGGAAAATGCTCTTTTGTTCTGTTTGGTATGACATTTGAGATGGTCCAATCCTAAGCAGCCCAATTAGATGGACAGTTACCTCAATTAAAAAATTACTGCTCTAATTATATAGGAAATACACATTAGAAACAAGGGCTCAAAGCACTGGTTTCTTTTCTAAACAACACCTTTTGATGAATGTGATTTCAATGCTAACATGATTTCAATATTAACATTAGGGAGACTGAAGCAGTTGGTCTGAGAGTTCAAACCCCACTCAGGCTATATAGCAAGACCCAGACTCAAATGAAAAGACATTGTTTTCTTTGATGATTTAGTTCCCATAACCTATGTGTCGTGCTTGACTATGTACTAAGAATTTTATTTGACACCAGCATCATAAGAATAAATAAACAATCTGATCTGGCCTCCACATTTTATACATTTCAAAATATTATTTGTTCATTTAAGTATCTAAAATATCTGCATAAAAATTTATTAAGGTGATAAATCAACCCAAAAGAAAATAAAATGAGGGAAGAAATGGAATTATGAAAGGTCTGTGGGAATAACACATAACATGAAGCCAAAATGACACACCCATGGGTAAGTGCCCAGTGAACAGACTAGAAAAAGATAAAAAAGTTCAAGAAAGTCAACACTTGGAAGATAAGTACTATTCATTAATATCTATAGACATCTTCCACCCTCCCAAAGCTAGGACTTCAGAGTGTTGCAATACATTTTTGTGGCTAAATGAGTTGGCAGTTCATTGAATAATGTGGAATAATGTCAGCAAAGGTGACAAAAGATTCAGAAGACCTCTGTGCATGGGGAGAATAGAGGGACAAAGGATTCATGGTGCATTACTGGAAAGACATATGCCACTAGATATATGGTTATAGTGCAAGTAACTGTTAGCTGCTTTTATTTATTGCTATAACCAACACCCATCATACTGATATCCACACCATTGAAAAGATAGCATGTATAATGTCATAAATGGCCTTGAAGTTTACTTTTCTATCTTGACATCATGGAGGGAACCATCTTACCTCATAAATTTATTACAGAATCCTGGAAGCTGGAGACTTTAATAAGACCTTTAAGCTAAGATGTGGATATGGCTAGAATTGATAAACCTTTTAAGACGTGGCTTAAGGGAAAGTCAGTTAACAGTTGGCTTATATTTAACACTTAGATGCTGAAACCTTTAACACAACAATTGTATATTCAAAAGGCAAACAATTGTGACTATCACAGCATTTTATGACTCAAGAGCATTGACATTTTAAAATCAGGATCTTGCCTGCTAAGAGATAATATTTTATACTGTTACGTTTCTTTTCAGAACCAAACCTGTTTCTTATCATGAACGAGCTCTCTTTTCAGATTGCAACTCAAGATGTAAATGTTCAGAGTCAAAGTGGGAGCCCATGTGTGGGGACAATGGGATCACATATGTGTCAGCTTGTCTTGCTGGCTGTCAATCCTCCAGTCAGAGTGGAAAGAACATTGTAAGAAATCTCTCCTAATGTATCTGCCTGTTCGCTGGCTATCATGTAGACCTGTGTTACTTCATTGGGGTCTTGGGAGGTGACCCAGGCAGAAGTCATGGTTCTGATCCAACCCTTGTATTTATATGGAAATATTGGGAATTTAAAGCACTCTTTTTGATCTTAAGCTGAAATAGTTAAGGAAAGAATTAGTCGTGAAACAGGTATAACAACTTTATAATTGTTTAATCTACACTTATCACTTTATTGTGAAAAACATTAGCCCAGAATAAGTCCATCCATCATATAGTTTCACTTGTGAGGTCTACTTTAGAATCTGTGTCTCCTGAACTAAAGTCAGTAGATTCTGGAGGTTTTAGGAACAGCACAAATATGGGAGGTTAAGAGGTCTGTATCTAAAGGTATGGATTCAGGAGCCCAGAACTGATTCCAGGGAAGTTGATGGGTCTGAGGCAGCTCTGCTTGATAAGGAGTAGATGGTCTGCATTGCAGAGCTTCTGAAGAGTGGAATGGAGTCAGAACTCTAGGCAGGAAGCTCACTCAGCCTGTCTAGGTGAAATCACATAAGTTCTTGACAGGAACGGCTTGTTCCTCACAGCTGTAGACAGGAAGTCCAACTGAAGGTGGCAACGAGTCCATTGCAAGGTGAGGGCTGGCTTCGGGTTTTTTGACGTCCTCAGGGCGGAGGGCAGAAAGAAGTTCAAGGTATCTGTAGTAGTTAGCCTTTTGTCTCTTTCACAGCTAACTAAGAGAAAGCTTTTAAAGAAAGGAAAGCTTTGTTCCGGTTTATCTTCTTGGTGTCGTGAAACAGGCTTGCTGCTTCTGCATCCGTGTTGTTGCAGTTTACCCAGCAGCAGCTGTGTGAAAGAGGCCATTAGCCTCACAGGAAACTGGAGGGAAAGGGGAGCAGAAGACAGGCTACAACTTTCCAAGGCACTCCACAGGGACAACTTCTTCCACCTAGCCCCTTCTCCCACCCTTGGCCACCCCAGTAACACCATCATGACCTTTTTCACAAATCCATCAACTGGATACCCAATCCCTAGTACTAGAGGGGAACACTTCCTGTTTAAATGTTAAAACTATACTTTTCTAATATGGACACTAAATTCTGAAAATGTTATCTTTACAACCTTCCAAAGCCGTTGCCTCAGTGTTTCATAGCACAGGAGCTCGATATTCCAGTAAGTAAACTGGGATGACCGTTCAGTGCATAGCAGAAAATAGTTGTGAAGGATGCCCCCTCTAATCACACCTTGGCATTTCGGATCTAACACTGCCTTTCATAAAGACTGAACACACACACACACACACACACATATGTATATATATACACACGTACATACGTGTGTGTGTGTATATATATACATACATATATATATATATATATATATATATATATACTTGTTGGCTAGTTATGAATGTTTTGTCCAACACATCTGAGGGCATGCCAGATGATAGTGAGATGGAGGAACAAGTAACAATAAAACAAAATCATGAATAGGACTAAAAACATTTAATCAGAGCCATATATGGCTCTAGTTTTATATATATATGTATATATATATATGTATATGAATTTTTCCAACTTTATTTCATTCATTATTTGCAAATTCAGTCTTCAGTGATGAAAATGACAACTTGTTGTCTTAGTTAGCATTTCCATGGCTATGCTAAAACACCCTGACTTGGACAAGAAAGGGTTTATTTCGCTTATGCTTCCACTTCACAGTTCATCTGAGGAAGCCAGGACAGGAATGTCGAAGTAGGAAGTGAAACAGAAGCCCTAAGTGATGGCTGCTTACTGGCCTGCTCCCTGTGGCCTGTTCATCCTTCTTTCTCATACCATACAGAAAGCCCTGAATAGGGGTGGCACCCACCACAGTAGACTGGGGCCTCCCACATCAATTACTAAATATAAAAATGCTCTATAGACTTGCCTACAGTCCTATCTTATGGAGAAAATTTCTCAGTTATAGTTTTTTTTTTCCTTAGATAACAAGAACTTTTGTCAAGTTGGACCAAAAAAGAACTAAGACTCTTTTAATATATGATACAAATCGATAATAATATTATGAGATTCTCATTTCATAAATAAACTGCACAGAAATAACCTATGAGTGATAAGAATGATTTCTTTATATTCAAGATTTAGTTGACTTTTACACATAAAGATTATTTTCCCTAAAAGACAATGTAAATTTTTCCATATCTTCTAATTCTGCCCATTTCTTTAATGATATTTTTTATGTACTGCAAATGAGGTCAATTTTAGGCTCTGGTTGTGTAGTAGTGACATGGTAGGGTGTTCTCCTTTCATAAAGGTTATATTCCAAGAGAGATGTTGTTTAAAAGTAAGTACCATATACTAGTGACAGGGACTGAGTTAGGACACAAGGATAGACAGATGGGACTGTGGTTCAAATGGGGAGGTCATGGAGTTCTCTCATGAAATCTCTAAGCATTGAAGGGAAGCAGAGCAGGCAAGAGGAAAGTTTCCTGGACAGAGAGAGGCAGTACCATGAGACATGAGTAAATTTTCTGTGTTCAAGCTTTGTGTATATGGTGGGGGGGGGGCTTCTAGGATAAGACATACCTGTAAAATTGCCCTGTGGGAGCCATTGTGTAACCAAAATAGAGGGCAATCAGGGAGCTTGTTGACCAAAGAGATCAGGGTGAGATCTGGGAGCTACGTGATAGAGAATGGATAATTCACTACAGTGATATGGGATTCTTAAAAATATATAACGAATACTAATCTCAGGGTTGAAGTCAGTGAGAGAATTTGAATGTTCACTTGGTTCCTGTTTGGAAAGCAGATTGGAGAGAGAGGAAGTAGTTGAGCACAAACTTGACCGTGACAATAATCAAAGCATGAAACAGTAGTGACACCCATGTGTAGACTGTAGGTCATGATTTAAACAATGAAATACTCTATTAGACTTCACCTTAATATACGTTAATATAGCAAAAAGTATGCCCCCATCGCTCATGTAAATTCTACTGAAAGTATTTTAAAATAAATTGGTAACTTCTGATTTTATTAAATACACCTTGATAATTGGACTTTTCTCTACTGTGTTACAGATTTTTTCTAACTGCACCTGTGTGGGACTTGCAGGCCCTAAGTCAGGAAACTGGTCAGGCATGATGGGCAGGTGTCAGAAAGATAATGAATGTCCCCAAATGTTTCTGTATTTCCTTGTGATTTCAGTCATCACGTCATATACGTTATCTCTAGGTGGCATACCTGGGTATATATTACTCCTGAGGTGAGTACTGAGTCTCTTTACTCCAACTTCACTATCAAATGTAGCATATATTTTTTTTATGATCATGATTCTTGATAGCTTTTTGAAATAATTTCCCCAGTTCCTGATTCCACTCTCAGATGAACCCACTTTAGGTTTTTTATATGAAAATGTAGCTAAATAAAGTTTCTTTAGTTCAACATGTTTGCAAACCCTTGATCTAGAGCAATGTTAAAATCTACATCATTGAATGAAGGTTTGTGGTAAACACCATGTGGGACTTTTGATGTTGGAAGCAATATTAATAACACAGGTAAAATGTACCTTCCATTAAATATGCTTTTCATCAAATGTGTCCAATAAACAATTAAAGGTATGTTTAATAACATTGTTTTAAATTGATCATTTTGATCTTTAGGTTATTATATTTTACATATTCTTGCTAAGACTGAAATTTTTCTTGATGAGTATTTTTTTTATCAGTTGAGGATTCTTATCTATGAATATTATGTGAATGACTTAAAACAATTTAGGACCCTAAAATATGCACTCCTTTGCATGTTTTAATTAGAATATATGTTTTAAAGAATAATTTAAATAGAAATTAAGCATTGTGTTCTGGTATAAATCATATATTTAAAAATGGGAGAATTTTAAATTTTATGTCACTCTTTAAATGAAATTAATGTAATTAAACAGTAATGAATAATGATTCGATAATCATGACTACATTAAATATTTATGAAAAGCTATGTGTGTGTACATATGTACATGCTTACATGTGTATAGGGCACAAATGTGTGGGTGTACCCTCATGAGCAGGCCCCAGGTTGATGTTGACAACCTCATCAAATGGTCCTCCAGTGCTCTTCCACCTCATTCATTGGGGTGGCATCTCCCAGGTAGAACTTCTGTCAGTGTTGCTAGCCATCTTGCTCCCATAATTGCCTGTCTCTGCTTTTGAGGCTGAAAGAACTGCCAGGTTACCCGGCCCACTCAGTATTTATCTGGGTTCTGAGTGTCTGAATGTCAGGCTTCATGGCAAGTGCTTTGAGCACTCAGAAGTCTCTCAAGCCGTATTTTCTAACTGGTGCTTTTCCGATTTTAGGTGCATTCAGCCACATCTTAAGTCTTTTGCTCTGGGTATCTACACCTTAGCAGTAAGAGTTCTTGGTAAGTATAATAAAATGGATGATTTTTTTCTTCTCTTTCTAAAACATTGTGGTGTGTGTGTGTGTGTGTGGTATGTGTGTGTCTGTGTGTGTGGTGTGTGGGGTGTGTGTGTGTGTGGTGTGTGTGTGTATGGTGTGTGTGTATGGTGTGTGTGTGTGTATGGTGTGTGTGTGTGTGTGTGTGTGTATGGTGTGTGTGTGTGTGTGTTTATGTTGGTTTACTGTCAGGGGCCCCAGAAGTGTTATGAGTGGCAGGGAAATAATCTGTGAAAGGTGGAGAATGAAGCTCAGGTCAGCACTGCTTTAGCAGCCTCTGGGTCAAAACTTCCTGAGTCTGACCCTGTGGTTTATTTCACGTACACATTTAAGCACGGTAAAACTTGGGGGCAGGGAAGCTGCCACAGTTATCACAACAAAGGCTTTAGCTATGGCTACACTGAAACTCCCTTGCAAATGAGCAAAGCACCTGTGATCTTTTAATAAGAATGAGTTCTATTGGCTGATAAACAGCGCTCAAGGTAAGGTCCTAAGGAGAAATGATTGCTAATAAGCATAAGGATAGATTCTGTTGATGGAGGATGCAGAGTACATGGGCCTTCTTTCATAGGAAGGTTTCCATTCATTGATAGACACAACTCAGGATTGCGACCTAAACAATGCTCAGGATTTGTGGGGGATTCAGGAAGGCTGGCTCCATAGAATAGCAAAAAGATTACCAGGTAATCATTTGCATTTACCTGACTGTTTTTTTGTAAACAGTCAATAAAATATTTCAGGTGAGAACTATGTATCTGACATTGTGTGTCATTTTGCCCTTTCTGCTTTGAAGACCTGACTTTAGTGTACACCATCACTAAATAATGTTCTCTTTGTAAATGTGAGGGCCCTAGCCCTCTCCACAAGAGAGATTTGTCAATCAAATGACCTGTGAGATGATGTTATTATTCCACTTTTGGCATATGTTTTGCCTGAAGCTGATATGACTATAAATGATTCTAAATTAAATCAATTATATTACAACTATTCATAAAACTTCAATAGAATTTTAAGCAGGCTGTATTTCAAAAATAATTCCTATTTATTATCAAAGGCTTGTTTTTCTTGATGGTATCATAAATGCTTTAGGATGACTGTAGTAAGAGTACACTATTTTGTGTAACTATATGCTGTGGTTTGAATATGAAATAATATGCCCCACAGCTTTCATTTGTTTGAGTGTCCATCAGATTCCAAGCTGGTGTCACCATTTGGAAGGTTGGGGTATCTTTAGGAGGTGAGACCTAAGCTGGAGGAGGAAATTTCTGATAGCAGTGGGGTGGGGCGGGGCTTGAGGTCTGTAATTGTCAACTTCTAACTGGAGTTTTCCATGCTTTCTGCTCTAGCCATTTGCCAAGCATGCCCCTGCTGCATGAGCCAAGCATTTTGGCATGCTTTCCCTACCATGGTTGATTCAAATACCTTGAACTATGTGCCCAAAATAAACCCTACCTTTGTTAACTGTGAAAATGTTGGAGACTCATAAACAACAACAGTAATGGTGCAAAACAGATGGCCATCTTTTTGCAATACATAAAAAGAAACGAAGCTGTAAACGCATCTTAATCCTGCCAGAATGCTTTTGTTAAAACTCAATTGTGAAAGTTTACCCTTTCTCCATATTTTTGTGCCCTCATTCGTCAGTTACTGAGAAATGATGAGCATTGTAGCATGAATATGAAAAAAAAATCTGTCTGTGCCTACGTAGTTTGGGTCTTGCATAAAACACAATTAAGCAAACAAGCTGTTCTGAGAACATTAAGGGTTGGTGACAGGGACTGAGCTGTGTGCTAGTGAGCAGAATTAATACATTTTAGGTAATTAGAATGGCCCTTTCTGAAGGGAATTATTTGAACTGAGATACAGTGGATATGTAAGCATTAAACAGGAGAAGGCAGGGAGGCAGGAAGGCTGGGTGGTGGTGCAAATCTTTAATCCCAGCACTTGAGAGACAGAGGCAGGTGGATCTCTGTTATTGGAGGCCAACATGGTCTACAGAATGAGTTCTAGGACAGGTTCCAAGGTTACACAAAGAAACCCTGTCTCAAAACTAACAAACAAACAAACAAACAAACAAACAAAAAACAAAAAAATAAAAAAGAGAAGAGAAGAAAGAGGTGGGAAAAGTAAATTTAAATTTATTTAAGACAAAGGAAGCTACTCAAGGTATTAGGCAAAAGGACAGAGCATTTTAAGCCTTGAAAGACATTCAATAGCCAACACTCAGGAGGCAGAAGGAAGTGTATTTTTATGAGTTTTCGGGTAGCCTGGTATACAAGAGCTACAGTTCCAGGACAGGCTCCAAAGCTACAGAGAAACCCTGTCTCGAGAAAACAAAGCAAAACAAAACAAAACAAAAACAAATAAACCAAACAGAAAAACAAAAAAGAAAAGAAAGACATTTAATAAATCTAAAATCCAAAATATAAAGCAATGAATATATGACTTCAATGAGGCCAGAAATGTTGTGTTTGGTCTTGGAACAAATACCTTGAGAAATTGTCTGTGTGGTTACTTGCATAGTAAATAGGTTATAGAGTGATAAGGAAATTGGCAAAAAAGAACCCTAGCTATTGGTTTTATTGGGGGTGGGGTTTCTGGGAATTGAACCCAGGCCTCTAAGATATACTGGGCAGATTCTCTGTCACTGAACTGTACATATATTCTTGCTAGGCTTTACCTTGGAGCAGTAGAGAGAGGCAAGTAGAGATGTGACATGATTTGGGATGTTTTAAAAGTGAGAGAAGGGCTCAAAGATGACATCCAAGCTCATGTCCCTGGCCACTAGGTGAGTCAGTCAAGGGAGAAGTGTATTCACATTGAGAGTGGTGTGCCAGGAGATATACACCTGGACTTAAGCTAATGGGAGTTTTTTCATGAGTCTGGAGCTTGTGACCAAGCACTGAGCCATAGAAAGAGGTCTTGGTGAGTAACTATGGCTTTTTATTTCCCAAACAGTGATTCCTGGGCTCAAGGTAAGTGGTTCTGGGTTACCATTCATAACAAAACTTAAATGCAATCATTTGTGTTTCTTACAGCAGGAATCCCAGCTCCTGTGTATTTTGGTGTTTTGATTGACACTTCATGCCTCAAGTGGGGATTTAAGAAATGTGGAAGCCAAGGCTCCTGTAGACTGTATGATTCTCACGCTTTCAGGTACAGTGTCAAATCCAGTCCCAGACTCCGGTGTTACTGCCTTACATCCTATGCCCATGAAATGTAGAATTTCTTATGTGGTTTTCACGTTTCTAAGATAAATCAACAAAAAACTGGGAACTGTTTCATGGACCAATTCTGTTATTTGATATTTGACTTAAAATATGTATTTTCCAGTGTTAATACTGAACTTCATTTAAATTTCATCATTATTTTGTACTTAATTTTTAAGTTATCATACGAAGTAATAGGATTCATGAATTTATATAATTATGATACTTTCACACATATGTATCATTATACTTTGTTTTAATTTATCCCCCTTCCAAGTAATTATTTTTTTTTAATATGATGAAAATGAGTCAGGTAAAATGCCTCACACCTGCTATCCTCAAATTTAGGGGGCTTACAGAAGAGAACAATTGCCTTCCATCTCTCCTTCTTTCTGTCTGTCTTTCTCTCTCTTCCTCTTCTCTTCTGCCACTCCTGTCCCCAGAGGCCGGTCTCCTCTCTCCCCTCACCCCTCTTTTCCCATTCACTTTTCCCCAATAAAAAGCCCCCCTCCACCTGAGCTCTGTTGCATGGCATCTTTCTTTCACATGCTGATTTTTCTCGATGTGGGCTATATAATACGTCCTAGGCTAACCTGAAGCTATAGAGTGAGCAACCCTGACACACACATACCACACACACACACACACACACACACACACACACACAAACACACACACACACATGTATTCACATGAGCACACACATATGACAAATGATGGAAATTTCTAGAATACAGTAACATTTTTGAAAATTTGTGTACGCTAATAGCAAGACATTCCCTGATACTCAGATGCATTTAAATGTAGGTCACATTCTGGGTTTAATTCTATTCTTTTTTAAACTGAGCCAAACTGTACCATTTACGTCAGTGCTAATCCCCTGAGCAAGACCAGGATTTGGCTCTCAATCCGTCCGGCTCTTATTGCCAAGCTGATGTTCAATTATTCCAGTACTTGAAATGCATAAAAGTAAAAGGCTTCCTCTGTGTGGGTGAGTGTGTCTGGGGTGGAGAGTGTGATTTTCTCACTACGGTATCGTTCAGTTCTGTTCATCAGACCTTTATTCTCCTTATTGCTGAAAGCCATACTCCAATGGCTTAAGAGCAGAGACTTCCTTTTTTTCAAAGGCTTACAAGCCAAACACTTTGTTTCAGAGAAGTAAAGCTGGGTCTTCAGCATCTAAGGAGAATGTAAATTAGTCAGACCATCTCAAATAAGACGGGTTTAATAGGCTTTGATGGTATGTGTGAAGGGTTTTTGGTTCATGACTAGGGCCGGTTCAGGGAGTAGGATTTGACATCTGCTCTCATATGCTGTGGCTAAATATTCACTATAATGTAACAGTTGTGTGATGCAGGGACTGTCAGACTGTGAGAATATTTACCAAGTGACCAGGACAGAGCTTGAAGCCTGTCTGTATGTTCTTCTGGTATTAAAGGCTTCTTAGGGAAGAGAGTAAACTGAACTAAACATCACATTAATTTTCAGGCAGTTCTGCTCCACTAGCAATTCTGACCCCTCCTTTGAACTGCTTGCTGCAGCATTTCTTTGGAATTTGTGGGAGGAATATGTGACGCAGGGTCACCACATGGCTCAATCAAACCTAGACACTTTGGAAAGTGAAAGAGACACTTATAAATTTATACTTAAGACAGCAATGCCTAACTGGAGCCGCCCTGAGCAAGCAGGAAGATGGCTACCTAACTTCAGGGACTCCTCATAAAGGAAGTGGAATTTATTATATCGTTTGCAGTAGCTAGGAATGAACAATGCTAAGAAATATGGCAGTGAGCTGCTGATGGCTCACCAGTGTTCAGAGCCATGGGTCTATGCTAGGAAATCTTTGTCCTTCAAAAGAGTCATTACCTCACTGTTAGAACCTACATTTTGTGTTTTATTTCAATCTGAGTAGCTGCTGCAATTATAACTGAGATTCTCTCCTCTTTTAGACACATATACCTGGGACTAACCACCCTCCTTGGTACGGTGTCCATTTTCCTAAGCATGGCTGTGCTTTTTATTTTAAAGAAAAAGTATGTTTCAAAACACAGCTGCTCCATACCCACAAGAGGCAAAGCAGTGGCATCTTCAAGCTTCAGGATGGAAGCACGCGCTGCGAGGGATCGTGGGCTACAGCCTAAGTACTGGCCCGGCAAGGAGACACGACTTTAGGAAACTCGCGGAAAACAAACAAACATGGAGGTCATTTTATCCAATACACAAACGTTCTGCCAACAAATAAAATTATAAACAAAAGGGCTTCCCCATGTAACGTCTTTCTCCTTTCAAAAGTGTGTCTGCTTTTCTTTTGTTTTTTAGTCTAAGCTATAGATGGTAGACCTCAATAAATATCACTAAACATAGAAGATAGAGATAAAAAATGATTTTAAAACTTTAACCTTATTTATACATTCTTTTTAATTATTTTTTCATTTGTGCTTCATCTGTGTGGTGTGCGTTGATATGTAAGATGTATTCCTGGTGGGGGTCTCATGTCAGATCACGACACGTCATTGCTAAAACTGCGTCACTTGTCCAGAATACACTTGGAGTCATTCCTAAGGAGAGCCCTTGGTTCTAGATCCTTCTTGGAATGCAGTAATTGATACAGAAAAGGTTCATGACAGAGTGGCCTTGAAAGGCTATTTTAAGTAATTAGTTCCCCCACTAATTGTTTACACCTGTTCATTGTGACATTAGAAGCATCCATGGCCATAGTGTTGTTAATGTCACCGTGCTTTATTGTCTGTGCATTCAATGAATTAAAATATTTGGAAACAAATGCTGGCCATATTTCCATGTAGACAGCCAAATCTCTACTTTATACACAAGATGTAGTCATAAATATATTTAAAAGTTAAGTTTGGGGGTTTGTGGACCTGGGAGGACTGGGAAGTGAGGTAATATCAGGGTGTATTATGTGAAATTCCCAAATAATCAATAAAAATATTATATTAGAAAATATAATATCACAGATACTACAAAGTGCTTATATATCTGTGGTACTATGTATTACTGTGTAGTGTTTCTGAGGTATATAATGTTTATGTATACTATACATGTACTATATAGTTTAATCTGTACTTTATATGTAAAGCAGGGATTTTGACTCTCCAAAGGCTCATTTTCCCCCTGTTGAGGCTGTAGCCTCTAGATGCCATTTGTTTGTACTGGTTAGTCTTTTGTCAACTTGATACAGGCTGGTGTTGTTTGGGAAGGGAGACTCTCAGTTGAGGAAATTCCCCCATAATACTGGCCTATAGGCAAGTCTGAGAAGCGTTTTCTTGATTACTGATTGATTGACCTCCTGGGCTGGTGGTCCTGCATTAAATAGGAAAGCAGGCTGAGCAAGCCATGAGGAACAAGTTGGTAAGCAGCACCCCTCCATGGTCTCTACTTCAGTTCTTGCCTCCAGGTTCCTACTTTGAGGTCCCACTGTGAATTCCCTCAGTGATGGGAGTTATAAGGTAAAATAAACCCTTCCCACCACAAGAAAGTTAAGTTTCTGGAAATCGTTAGTGACTGTGGTTGTTATTCCTAGAAAGTAAATGAATTAAGTAGCAATAAGGCTGGGTGTGGTGTCTTAGGTGTCTAGTGGCCACTTACCAGAGAAGTCAGAAAGATTCCACCAGGTAACTCTCTGGTACTCTTCACTGGAAACCTTCACTTCAGGCCCTTTCTCTCCCCTGGCATTTTGACACTCCCCTGACTGCAGTTAGTGAGTTTGCAAGTCTATACTCTGATCTTCAAACCATTACCACTGTTTTTCTGCCTCTATCACCAGTTTAAACATAGTTCTGATTCCTCTAAGGAAAGCAGAGATAAACCAGAGAACCCTGTATAGAGGCATTGTACCCAGAAGTCAATAGTCTTCAGTAAGTCCTGGGAAGTCCAAAGACCAGGGAAATCTCAGTGTGAGTTAGACAGTACAGTGCTTTGGATGCAAAGGGCAGAACACTTACACACCAAAGGAATTTTCAAAGCTGCATAAGGAATCCATCACCATGATACATCAGTCATACTAAAACCTGATTCATCTGCACAGCACCAATGATACCAAAATCTCCATTTAGGAAAGGATACGATAAAGCTGAGAGAGGTTGCATAAATTGTTCATCAATGGAGAAACACAGTCAAATTAAAATCCAGGTCTACATGAAATCAACTTACCACCATATAAGCCTAACCTGAAACTATGTTCTAGGACAGATGCCCTAGTCATTTGTAATGTCTTAGAATTGCTTTATTTTATGTGTTTTCATTGACTCAGTCCTCATCTATGCCTGTATATTCCAATATCATAAGATAATCAGCACACAATGAATTTCGTTAGTATTGGGGGGGGGGTTATTTCCCCCCCAAGTACTGTATCTTGTGTTCAGAATAGTGGACTTTCAATAGATAGACCCAAAACATACTACTTGAACTTAAGCCTGGAGATCAGGGAAGGGCTTTAGAGACTTATCCTTTAAATACAATTCTTTATAAGAAAAAAGTCTTAACTTGTTTGATTTATTTGTTGGGTCAAAAGCATGCTATGGGAAACGTGTGGGGGTGAGAAGGCATTTTAGGGGAGATGATTCTCTCCTTAGAACATGCGGGTTCCAGAATGAAACATGGGTCATCAGGCTTGGCAGCAAGCACCTTTCCCCACTGACCATCCCACTGGCTCCTGACACACAACTTGAAGTAACCTTTAGACAAAAAGCAAACATGAACAGGACACTCCCAAGAAGCCCATGTATTTGAGGAGAAGTCTAGCAGGAAGGTACCAGTTAAATACATGTTTGCTTTACTCATACAGCAAAAGAATCTAATCGTCCATTTATGGCTTCTGACTGCCTTCATTATCTCTTTACACATCAGTTCTGAAAATAAGGATGGGAAAAATGTAACGACTGAGAATGAGGAAGAGAAATGTCTTTTAAAACACAACAGTGTTGGGTCATGACAGGTGGTTCAGCAGGCACAACACTTGATGCTTTTTTGAGGAACCAGGTTTGGTTCCCAGTCCCCATATCTGGAGGCTCACAGCCCTCTGTAACTCCAGCAGTAGAGTAATCTGATGTCCTCTTTCTCTCCTGAGCAGGCACCCATATCTATGTGTGCAAATACATACATGGACACACACACACACACACACACACACACACACACAACTTTGTCATTTGATTGAAAGTAGTAACAATTGTATGTTTTATATTTCTGCTGACTTTGAAAATGTAATGAATCTTTGTTCTGATAAGCAGGTCTATGTGCACTAGGTGGTTGCCCTGCCAGCTCCTGAACAGAGTCCATTTCACCATTGTTGCCATTTTCTGTATCCACCAGATCCATGATAAAGGGTGCATGGTTGGACTCAGTACCCTTCTCCATCTTGTCTTAATACATTAAAGTAAAATTTAAATCTCTCACCCTAGTTTACACATCCTTTTCATTTTTCAAAGCTTTTTGTAGCAACACCCTAACATATAACTTCTTTGTAGGTAAGTCATACAAGAGAATCTTGATTGATTTCCTTGTGCATGATTTGGAAAATAAAACCATATTTTGAAAGAAAAAGAGCAACTAAGGAATTCTGAGAGCAGAAGAAATATCCTACATAAGGAAAAGCTCAATCGATTACCAAGTGTATAATACCAAGTACTCACCCTTGAAATCATATACATACAAAGTAGCATTATACAGACTGAGCAGGTTATATTTATAAATTTGGAATATATATATTATATTTACATATTCCAAATGTACAAACAGTTAAAGAAATGGAGCCAATAAATTTGAGCGAGAACAAGGGGCCACATGGGAAGATTTGGAGAAAGGAAAGTGAAGGAAAAAATAAAGTAGTTATATTTAATTTCAAAAAACAAATTATTTTATTAAAAACGGTCTCTTTCATAAAAAGACCAAATACTAACTAAAAAGAAGCAAGATTTTATGTGTAATCTTCAATTCACCAGTAACAGAATTTCATCTGTGAAACTTAGCTTTATGGCATAGAAAGGTATCATTTAGTGGGGGATAAATTTATTAGAAAAAATACAGATATTTCTATAAGTAAATTCATACGTAACAGAGGTAAGCAGATATTATGTGCTATGAAAAGTATACTTTTTAAAAACTAAACCTTGTTGTGGAATATTAGTTGAAGATGTGCTATGATCATTCGTGCTGTGGAATATTTGTTTAATGATACAAAGATGTGTTGTATTCTTTTATGTTGCATCTGTTTACTTCTGTGAAGCTGTGCTACTTTGCCTGCCTAAAACATCTGCTTGGTCTAATGAAGATCTGAACTGCCAATAGTTAGGCAGGAGAGGGAATAGGTGGGGCTGGCAAGCAGAATAAGAGGGGAAATTTGAGAAGATCAGAAAGCAAGCAAGAAAAATGAGAACGAGAGAAGACACCAGGGGTCAATTACCCAACTATACAGCAAGTCATAGAGTAAGAAGTAAAGAAAACTAGAGAGAGATAACAGCCCAGAGGCAAAAGGTAGATGGAACAACCTAAATTAAGAAAAACAGGCTAGAAACAAGCCAAACCAAGGCTGAGCTTTCATAAGAAAGAATAAATCTCTATGTGATTATTTGGGAGCTGGGTGGAAGGTCTCCCAAAAGTAAAAGAGTAAAAAATAAGCCCAACAACATTTTGGTATTCTAACATGGGCTCATATATTCATAGGGCTTGAAAAAGCTTAAGATTAATAAAAAAATTATGAAAACTGATTTTTTTAAAGAAATTCTGTCACACACAGGGCACTTAAACTACCTTTCCATACTAAACAGAAGCAAAAACCTAAATAAAAATGCCTGCCACAGATCAGAGCCCTGTGATTTCAGAGTTGGGGAGTTGGGTGCAATTCCTGGTCAAAAGCACTTCCAACCAGGCCACAAGCTTTAGGCTTAACTCTCTCAAGCCTAGAAGCAATCAGAGCCAAATTATAGAGATATGCAAATGACCATGTTGTAGCTTAGCAATTTAAAGTTTGCTCACACAGTCAACAAAGACTAGAGTTATGCAGTAAATGAGGTCCAGTCTGAAATACTCTAGGTAGGTTCCAGTGTGTTTAACAGTAGTGTAGGCTTAAGAAAAAAAGTGGATACAGACAGTCATAGAAAGAAATAAGTAGTGTAAAAATATAAAGTAAAGTCGTTAAAGAGAGAATAAAAGTAATAAAAGACAAATGTCATATAAGATGGGAAATACACAGGGAGTTTGGATCCTGTGTTATTGTGTTGATTTTGAACTTTTTGATTGCTGATAAGCAAAGGACAGCTGCTAAGAGACTTAGAATTGAAAGAGGGCCTGTGGAAATAAACCAGCCTGAATACTTTAGGAAAGCTTTAACTTTAAAATTAAAATC